ATAAGTAAAATAGTGGTTAATAATGCCCACCTTGGGGAACCACAGTAAGGACTAAATGAGATAATGTACTTTAAAATTACCCCCCTCCTCGTTTACTCTGCATCAGCCTTCTTACTGTTCCTTGAACTCTCCAACTACCCTCCCACCTCAGGGCCTTTGCACTTGCTGTTCCCTATACCTGGAAACTCTTTCCCTGGATATCCATGTGCGTGGCTTACTTCCTTCAGGTCTCAGCTCAAAATGTTATTTTGTCAAAGAGGCCTTCTTTAACCAGCCTATCTAAAATGGACATTACGACCACCACCACCCCCCACTATTCCCCACCAGCCCCCACCACCCCCACCTCCATTCCTCTCTGTCCTTTACGCTGCTTTAATTCTCTCCAAAGCCGTTAAGACTACCTAACACATTAGAGAGTAACATGTTTATTAATGCCTGTCCTCCCCGCTGGAATGTAAGCTCAGTGAGGGCAGCAACCATGTCTGCTTTGTTCCCTGCTGTGTCCCCAGTGTAGGGACAGTGCCAGCCACCTAGAAGTCACTCAACAACTATTTAACCAAAGGAGGAATAAATGGCCGATTGTATGAACGAGCCACCTTGCACAGGGCCTGGCCCGTCATAGGCACTCAGTAAACAGGAGTTATCACCGCTACTAATTTGCAGGTGCTGAGAGAGGCCCGAGGGGGCCTGGACTTTTGGGAACAGGTGGGGCTAAAGAGAAGAGCTCAGGTGGACTCAAAGCTACCCACAGCCTGTCCAGAGGCCAAACACCACACGCCAGCACATTTGGCCAAGGCAGGGATTTGCCATCCCGGCCTGAGGGGGCCTCGAGCCCCACCTACTACAAGCCCTGCACCCGGGGGATGGGGCCGGGCCTGGTCCTGAGGCTGGACAGACCCTCCCACCCACACCTAGACGGGGTGCCCAGCCACCCTGGGGCTGATAAGAGGCTCTCTGTCCCCTAGAGAGCCTGAGCAGCAGGAAGGGCTGGTTACTAGGACTGAGTTTGTGGTGGACCCCCAGGCCAGGTTGGGAATTAGGCCAGGCCCAGCCAGGGGAACCAGAGAACAAGGGCATGAGTCTGTAGCCCCGAACTGTGCCTCCAGGGTCTGGAGTTTCCCAGCTCAGAACAGGCTGGGCCCCAAATTATGGAGGAAAGAGCAAATCTGGGAGGAAAGCCCAGCTCCATCCCTGTGACTAGGTGACCTCAGGCCAACTACTAACCTCTCAGAGCCTCAGTGTCCCCATCAGTCAGGGAGAAATAATAATATCCACCTCAAAATGCTGACAGGATGGCTATTAAGAAGAATAATAGTTACTATTTACCAGCGCTTTGCTATGTCCTAGGGCTGTTACATTATCTCTTTGATTCTCAAAACACCCCTAATGTTAGGTGTTGCTATTCCTGTTTTACAGAGGAGAAAACTGAAGTTCAGAGAGGGTAGCGGCCAGACCAAAGCCACACAGCTAGGAAGAATCAGAGCAAAATTGGGCCCAAGTCTGCTGGTTGTAAAGTCCTGTTTCAACCACCACCTAGAGAATGCACTTAAGCACCGCCCCCCGCACCTGTCTAGGCACAAACAGACTTCCAATCAATGCAAATTTTCTTTTCCTTCCCTGAGATTCAGCTCTTGGGACAGGTGAGCCCGGCTACAGAGGCTAAAGGAGCAGGGAACCAGGTGGCCCTTAGGCCGGGTTAAGGCTGCAGCAATGGCCCCTCCCAGCCCCAGCTAAGCACAAAGAACCTGGGCTGGCTTCCTGCTCCCAGCAGGTTGCGAAGAGGCCCTTGCCAACACCGCCTCCCCAGCCCGGGCAGGCTGGGGTCAGCCCCACAGAGGAAGTTCACCCAGGTCAGGCCTGCCCCTTTCCCACAGCCCGGAGTGACCCTCACAGCTTTTCCACTCACCTCTGGGTCCACAGTATCCCAACGCCCCCTGCCCAGGGCCTGTGGGTAATGCTGCCTTGGGCATTGCTCCGGCGATAGGGGACAGCCTAATTCACATTTGACCCACACCAATCGATCAGGGAGGGGTGGGGACATTCATAAATCCATATCAAACAGCCCCCAAATTATGACAGATGACATGGCAGTCATAAAATTGCACAAGCAAAACTCACCAAGTCATTAATTTCATGGCCGTAGAAAATAAACAGACACATTTTTTCGCGGCCCTAATAAATTTTTTAAAACTCAAAGAATGGTCCATCTGCTTCGAATAATTTTTAATTTCCTATTCTGTCTCATTCCCATTAGCTATTCCACTGAGATATTTGCTAAATTCTTTCATTTACCTCCTCCCATCTGTATTCAATTACCCTATTCCCAGATAGAGCGAGTTTTTGTTTCTCCTAAGCGCAGGACGAAATACCCCCGCCTGTACCTTAAAGCAAATGTTATGTGTGTTTTATTATCTGTTAGACCGTATGAGTCATTCTAACTCGATTGCCTGTGTGGAAAGGCTTGGAGAGCAATCTGATTTTGATGTTTTCTGGCTTGGGTGGAAAACACCTGCCCGATTCTCAAAGCTAATCTATTAACGTGGTAAATGCTGTAGCAGATGTTCCTGAGTGAGCAAGGGGCCATGCTGGGCTGTGACCGGGCCCAGAGTGTCGGGCACACGGTAGAAATGCCCAGAGATCAGAGGCCAGCAATGCCACTGGGGGCTGAGCTGTCATGAAGTCACATTTTCCAGCCAGCTCCCAGGCTCCCGCTGGCTGGTGACTCCCCACTGCCTTCCTGGGCTTTCAACAGCCACTCTACATGGAAGGACATTTCAAGGTCATCTGGTCCACTCCACCGCACTCTTATTTTTTACAGTAGGGAGACTGAGGCCAAGAGAGGAGGTGTCCTTTCCCAAAGGCACACAGCATTCTGAAAAAGGAGAACATCCTTAGCGGCTGCAGGTGGGTACAGGGAGCTGAGATTCCTTTTGTGGAGGTAGGGAAAGGAGGAGAATCCTGTGAGCATACCTTTCCCCCTCGTGCCTTTTACCTAGGAAAACAAGATCACCTAGGGTCTTTTCAGTCTAAAATTCTTCACAGGCCGTCTTTCCTCAACCTGCAGGGGCTGGGCCAGGGCTGCAACAGAAAGGGAGACTGAAAAGCACGTTGAGAGGCCAAAGCCTTGCTCCGGGCGGGTTGGTTTCAACAGTGTACACACTGGGACCTGCAAAGCCCTAGGAAGGTGGATTGCCAGGCCAAGCTGCAGATCTTGGGAGGTACTGGGGTCCCCAAAGCCACATATGGCAGGATCCATGTAGCTGCACTGTGGGTGCCCACATCCACTCAGCACTCATTATTTCCATGCATGCTGGTGGCTTCTTACTATGGGCACCTGCAATACTGCCTGAGGCTTTCTCTGACCTGGGATCATGTTCAGTAGACCTTCAGGACAAAGAGACGTCAGGGACTTGACACTCCCAAGAGCAGCCCTAAAACAATGATGAATGGGAGCTGGTGTGTAAATACCCCAGCTCCCTCCTCTCTTGGATGGGACAATTCTGAGACATGTCTACACCAGTGATTCTCACCAGTGCTATGATTTTGCCACCCAGGGGACATTTGACAATGTCTGGAGACATTGTAGTTGCATGGTTGCTCTTGGCATCTAGTAGGCAGAGGCCAGGATGCTGCTAAACATCCTACATTGCACAGGACAGCCACCTACAACCAAGAATTATCCAGCCCAAAATGTCAGTACTGCTGAAGTTGAGAAGCCCTGTTCTCCACCCTCTCACAGAGGTCCCCAGTGGGATTGAGCCCCAGATGCCCACAGCAATAACCTGCTCATTTAGGCACCTTCTCCCGACTTCTTTCCCCTCCCTGGCCCCCTTCCCCACGCCCCTTCCAGCACTTCCTAGGACCACCTACTTTCACTCAAATCCTCATCTCAAGGTCTGCTTCTTGTGGTCCAACCTAAGATTATTACTACAGTCATGGTGACAACTTTGGAAGGGTCTCAAAGACTTGAGTTCCTATTGCAGCCATCTACACTCTTACCATACACACTCAGTCCCAATGACACACACACTGATGTGGCTTCTTGAGGGCACATATATGGGGGCACACCAGACCAGCGTGGGCAGGAAGTCCTTTGGTTCTACTCTGGTGCACCAGCTGAATGGAGCTGTGTTCACCCTGCAAAGAGATGTAAGACTTGAGTACAGGTTCGTTGCAATCCCTTTTCAGAATCCCAGCTGACTTCTTTGTAGAAATTGATAGGCTGATTCTAAAATTTATACTTAATTACCAGGGACCAGGGAAAGCCAAAACAGACTTGAAAAAGAAAGACAAAGTAGGCGGAATCACACTTCCTGATTTCAAAGCTCGCTACAAAGCAGCCGTAATCAAGATAGTGTGGTACTGGCACAAGGATAGATACAAAGATCAATGGACTAGCGTTGAATGTCCAGAAATAACCATATGTCTGTAGTCAACTGACTTTCAACAAGAGTGTCAAGACCATTCAATGGAGAAAGGATAGTCTTCATCAAAATTGAAAACTTTTGTGCTTCTATGGACACCATCAATAAAGTGAAAAGACAATCCACAGAACGGGAGGAAATATTTTCAAATCATGTATCTGGTTGGGGACTTATATTATAAGGGATCCATGAATTTAGAACTATTTTCTCCTGGTGAATTTAAATTTCATATATTGACCCTCTACATCTCTAATGATGCCTTTTGCCTTAAAGTCTATTTTGTCAGATAGTAATACAATCATGCCAATTTTCTTTTGGTTAGTATTTTTCTTGTATTTTTTCACTGTTCTACTTACAAATTTTTATATGTCCTCATGTTTTAGGCATGTCTCATGTAAGCAGAATTTGGCTTTTCTTTTTTCAATCTATGATACTCTATGTGTTTTAATTGGAGAGTTCAGTCTACTTATATTTATAGAAATTACAAATATATTTGGCTTTATTTCTATGATCTTATTTTGTGTGTTTTTTTCTAATTTGTCCTTTTCCTAAGGATTTTTCATCTTCTTTGTTGCATTGTTTTGAACTGATTGAGGTTTTTTACTCACTCCATTTTTTCCCCATGTGCTGGTATGAAAGATAGGCATTCTATTTCTTTTTTTTTTTATTGGTGACTTGGCATTTTGAAATGATTACAGAACTTAATCTAGTTTAAGGTTCATCAACATCTTAGCCTCCTGAACAATGCAAAGTACTTTGAAAGCATTAATTTCACTTACTTAAGGCCCACCCTTTTAGCTCCATCTCTCGTGTAACCCCATGGAATAGACATTGTTTTGGACAATCAGTGTGTTTGTTCAAATTTACCCATATTTTCATTATTTTCTTAATTCATCATTTCTTCTTGTATTTGAGACTTTCTTCCTGAGATCATTTTTCTTCTCTTTAAGTTCATCCTTCAGAAATTAATTGAGGGTCTGTTATTTATAAATTATCTTGGTTTTAGTATAAAATGTCTTTGTTTCCACCCTTACTCTTTTTTTTTTGCATTTATTGAGATATAATTTACACACTATAAAATTCACCCTTTGAAAGTGTACACTTTAGTGGTTTTAGGTTTAGGTTTAAAAGCTTATAAAGTTTTGCAAACATCACCACTATCTAATTCCCCAACATTTCATCACCCAAAAGGGAAATCCCATGTCCATTACCATCTTCTTTCATTGTTACTGTTGACACTATTGTAATTAATCACCCATTAGTTCTTATTTCTTCTAATTACAGAAGTTGTGAACAACAAAATTTTTTCTTTCTGAGACTTTTAAGATCTTCTCCTTGTCTTTGGTATTCTTCAGTTTGACTATGATGTGATTATGTCTGGACTTCTTTTTATTCATCTTGTTTAGGATTCATTGGAATTCCTGAATCTGAGGATTCATGTTTTTTAGTAATCATGAAAAATTCTCAGCTACTATGTCTTTGAATATTATGTCTCTCCCATTATTCCTATAATCACTTTCCAAAAATCTGATTAAACATATATTAAAGATTTTTATTCCATTCTCCATGTCTCTTAACCTCTTTTTCATATTTTCCATTTTTCTTTCTATGCTACATTACGTGTAGTTTTTTCAGGTCTATCTTCCAGTTTACTAATTTCCTCTCCAGCTGTGTCTATTCTATTTGTTCCATTGCGTTTTTAATTTCATGTGATAGATCTTCATTTCTAGAACCTCTGTTTGTTTATTTTTCATTTCTGCCTGGTCATTTTTATCATCCTTTGCTTCTTTCTTGTGCCACAGAAGTTCAAGCTGTGAAAGCTGTAAGCTGCCCGACAAGATAGATGTCCTCAAGGTGTGCAGCAGTTTCAGCAATCACTTAATTCCCTGGACAGATGTTTTCAATTTGTTCCTAGCCTCTCGTAATTTCCTTATTTTCCTATAGGCCCTTTCATTAAATGAAGAGAATTTCAAAAATATTTTTTCCAGCATCCTTACATGTTTTGTAACTGATATATTTGTAAACCTTTAGTCATCATATAGATTTTAAAACACTTTGTTTCTTTTCCAATGTCTTTGCTTTTAGAAAATAACTATTAAGCACCTACTATGTGCCAAGAACTGTGCTGGAGATTCAGAGGAGAACAAGACAGAGCTTGTTCCTGCCCTCGGGATTGCTTATGGTCTATGGAGAAACTAGACACTTAACCAGGCAAATGCACCCCACAGTTAATTGGTGCTCTGATGGGGTAGGCATTAGTAAACAGGCCACACTGAGATATATAGAGGCCAGAAACACTCTCATAATCACATTAACTCTCTTTAAGTAGATATTCAACTTTTATTTAAGGGGGAAGAATGCAAAGCAAAACTCAAGTTCTTTTCCTATATTAGAAGACATTAGGGAAGCTGTCTGTCATTATTCAACATGTGTTGTTACTGGAACTTGCATCTTTTGCACGGAGTTCCTAGCACCCACTCAAGCTACTTAGAAAGCCAGCTATTCCAACCACATACAGTAGCCTCCTGGAGGGATTTTCTGGTAAATTACATTTCCGCTGATGTTTTATTTGCTTCCTTAGCCATCCCTTAATTCTAGTGTTGTGAGTAACTACTGCTGCATAACAATTCACTTCAAAACAGTGGCTTAAAATGATAACTATATGTTACAGGTTGAATTTTGACCCCCTATAAGATATGTTAAAGTCTTAACCCTCAGTACTTCAGAATGTCATCTTATTTGAGAAATATGGTCATTGCAGATGTAATGACTTAAAATGAGGTCATAACGGAGTAGGGCGGGCCCCTAATCAAATATGACTGATGTCCTTATAGAAAGAGGGAAATTTGAATACACAGACTCAGGGAGAACACCAGGTGAAGAGGGAGGCAGAGACAGGAGTGATGCGTCTACAAGCCAAGAAACGCCAAGCACCAGAAGCTGGGAGGAAAGCATGGCACAGATGCTCCCTCAGAGCCCTTGGAAGGAAGCAGCCCTGCCAACACCTTGATTTTGGACTCTGGCCTCCAGTTCTGTGAGAGAATACATTGCTGTTGTTTTACCCAGTTTGTGGTCATTTGTTACTTAGGCAGCCCTAGGAAACTCATATATGACCATTTATTCTGCTTATAAATCTGGAGGCTGCCTGGACTCCAGGCAGTTCTTGCTCTGGGTCTGTCACCCCATAGGGCAGCTCACACACACAAGAGAGAACCTGGGAGAAGCTATTTGGCCTTTTCTAACCAGCCTCAGAAGTCACAGAACATCACTTCTGCTACATTCTGTTCAAGGGGGCTTGCCTAGCTTCAAGGTGAGGGGACACAGACTCCACCTCCTAATGAGAGGAGTATCTAAGAATTCATGGACATGTATTAAAACCACCCTACCAGCTCGTCAGGGGGAGCATCTGACCTGGAGGCTGAGGGAAGGCTCCCTGGAGACAGCAATGTCTGCCTGCCTGAACCCCTAGGTGTAAGGAGGTACCAGGTGAGCAGGGCATGTGCCAGGAAGAGGAGCCACTCCCCCTGCCCCAGCCCTGAGCCTCTCAGCTGATGCTGGAGTACTGCGCCCCTTCCATCCTCAAGCACAGCCTCCAGCCCTGACAGGGTCCCAGGCTCACTCATTTGGCTGAGGCTCTGTGCCAGGCCCTGGAGATCCATACTCTGCCCAGATGCCACCCAAGCCAAAGGGTTCCTCTCCGCCTGCCACCCAAAGGAATGGAGGGGAAGTTCATGTGCTTCATGTAGCTGACAGAGAGCCTTCTTCTTGTCCGCAGTCTGAGGACATTTCCGTCCCCACTAATCTGGGCAGACAGGAGGCCCTTCAGAGAGGGCTCCCCACACCAACACCAGCCCCCGATGCTCAGGGCTCAGTCTCAGGGTCTGAGGCAGTTCCCCACGAACTCCAGCTGTGGCTCCTCAGTTCTCTGCCTCCTGACGAGTCTGTAAAGCTTCTCCTCCCCTACCCACCGCACCCCTCGCTGCGGATAAGGAGATAGAATGCATTTCCGGTATTGCTGTAGTCTGAGAAGGCCACTCTTCTGTCAAGGGAAATATGCAGTTTTCTGATTACCTGGACGTACCTAATCTGGCACAGAGGGACACACACACACATACGCTGCTCTCCTTTCTCCGTGAGGCCTCTGATCTCCAGAAGAGGCTGAACAAAGGTTCACTCAAGGTCACATCACCCTCCCCTCCAGCCCGGCCTCCACCCCCAGAGCAGCAACCAAGACCATCAGACCGGTCTGTGTGGGGCAGCAGTGCCCACCCACTGAGCATCAGCTACAGGTCAGCCTGCGCCGTCTGTCCTTGCTGGCCTCCTTGCAAGGGACGTGTTCTGTCTCCTCAGTCACCAGTGCAGAAGCGGAGGCTGGGGGACCGGGCTGCTAGTGTGCCAGAGCCAAGACTCACTGTCATGTTCGTCTCAACATTTATCTCTAGAACCTGAGACCATTCTCTTCTCCCCCTCAGCCTCCTCCTACTGCACTTCTGCCTCTCTCATTCTCTCCTTCAACCCCTCTGTCCATCTATTTTTGTGTCTCTGAGCTCTTTTTCTCTTTGGCTGTAACCCTCACAAAGGTCTAGGGCTATCTAAAGGCTGTTTCGAATTTTCTCCAGAATGGGGTCACCTTCCCTTCAGTCTTTGGTGCTGGGACCTGGCCATGCTCATTAGGAAAATCCCGTGAAGGAATGAACCTGCCGCCTGCTTCTCCCCACCCTACAAGGACCTTTCCCAGGTCTTGAAGCTGAGACCCAGGGTAGGATGGATGGGGAGAGAATGGCGGAAGACCAGAATGACAAGGGACGGGCTTATTCCCAGTGGTCAGATACAACAGGACACAGACAGCAAAGGGGACAGGAATTCAATTCTTATCAATAATCAAAATTCCTCCCAACTTGAAAGCTCCAGCCCAAAGTGGTGCTGCCACTGGCCAGCTGTGTGACCTTAGCTATGTCACCTAACCTCGTTGAGCCAATGATAATCCCTACTTCAAAGGATTGTTGTTATGATTCATTGAGATAAGACTGTCAATTTGTTTGGAATGCTCTGGGCTGCAAATAACAGAAAAGTCAACCAAGACTTGCCTGAGCAATAAAGATATTTAATTATTTCACACACTGAGATTCTAGAGGTAGTTTTCAGGCTCTGTGCAATGATTCAGAAATGCCATTTCTGTATTTTTGCTTCACCATCCTTAGCTTGTTGTTTACATCTCATGATGTTTCCTTATGGCTGAAAGATAGCTGCTGAAGCTCCAGACATCATGTACCACATTCAAAAGAAGAACACCCCATAAACTAATAAACGGCCCTTCAGGTGATGGATTCCATTGCAGATGATCCAAGGAGGCCACCTTGAGAGATTCTGCCCTGCAGCATGGTCATGTAATACGAAACTCACTCTCACCTCAGAGGCTTTTGCATTTTGAAAAGGCCTTCAGAGAAAAGGTAGCACTCCATGCACCTGTGGGGCTAGGAAGGGTCAGGAGAAGTTTCCAGGCAGCTCAGGTCCTATCACAACCTTCAGAGCCGGAAGGGACCTGAGAGAGCCTCCCCCTCCTCCATACAAATGGGGAACCGAGGCCCAGGGCAGACAAGTGATTTCCTTGGAGTCACACAGCAGAGCCGGGCCAAGGATTCCTGGCTCTGAGCCCCTCTTAGTGCTCTGGGGGGAGTCCAGAGCAGGGAGGGCTCTGACCAGGGAAGGCAGCTGTCTTAGGTGGGTCCCCCAGAGGCAGAGCCTGGGCCAGGGATTCCTATCCAGATGATTTACTGGCGGAGGCTCTGAGAAGAGGAGTGAGGGAGGCAAGATGGGGAATGGGTAGACGCTAAGCCAGAATATGGTGTCAGCTGGAGTCTAGCCCCAGCCTGGTCCCTCTGAAGGTTCTGGAGCACGGACAACATTGCAGCGTTCATCCTACCTGACGCTTGGGGTTGCCTTCTGTACCACCACGTCTGCCAGTCGCTGGCCACAGTCTGCACACAGCCTCTGGGTGGGCGGTTCTCGCCCAGCTGAGGACCCCGCTCCTGTGAAGGGGCAGTTGCGAGACGTCCCCCCAGAAGCGGGGGGACGGGAAAACCAGCAGGGAGAAGGAAAACAAGCAGGTCCCCTCCCCAGAGCCCCACATTATCCACAGCATTCCAGCCACGGGACGGTGTACAGGAGCACAGGCCTGTCCCTTCTGCAGCCTCAGTGTCCCTGCTCCTAAAATGGGCCTGCGGAACCAAGGGTGGCTGAGTTCCTCTCCAGCTCTGCTCTCCCAAGCTTCCGTGAGTCCACTTCCACTTCTCCCCAAAGTTCCCGCCAGGCAGCCCCCTGCCCCCAGTCTCCCCACTTGCCCAAGCGGTTGAAGAACCAGTGAGACCAAAGTAGGGTCTCCCCTCAGTCAGGCCTGAACGCCACGAGGCAGGCAGAGCAACGGCTCCTTGGCACGTGTACGTCTCCATCCTGCTGAACGGGCCTGGGGAGTCAGTATTTCTTCAAATGTCAGTACCGAGACTACACTGGGTTGTCAGTAAATTCATTATCCCATTACGCAGGCCTGAATTATTCAGCGCTGCTGAGCCGCCTCAGGAGCTGCCTGAGCAGTCTGTGCCCGCATTAGTGGGATGGATGGAGTCAGGCCTGGGGCATGGTTGGTGCCAGCGTGACAGATCTGGGCCCAGAGAGGCTGCCAGTGTTCGAAGGCCCAAGGGGAGTCTGGCTGGCAGGATCTGGGACCTGGACGTTCGTGGGGCCTGGGAAGAGGGTAATGTACATATCTACCGTCCCCCTCGCCCCCCAGGAAATTGGCAGCATGTGTCTTTGGAACCCCACCTGCTCCAAAGGGCCCAGAGACAGAAGATCCAGGCAGCACCTCTTCCTGATTGTGTGACCTCCAGCAGTTCATTCAGCTCTTTGAGCCTCGGCTTCTGGATCTGTATAAGGTAGCAATGATGCTAAATGTTCCCAGTATCCACTCTCCCTTTTAAGTTTAATGATAGAACTGATTTTTCATGGAGCATATAACCCTCCAGAATAAAGACTATTTCTAGGTGGCCATGTGACTAAATGCTGGTCAAAGGGTTGTGAGTAGAAGTATGCTGTGAAACTTTCAGGAGATGTCCTTAAAGGAAGGGGATGAGTCCTGTTTTGTCCCTTCCATTTTTTTTTTTAAATTGGGGTGAAGGTGTGATGGCTGGAGCTCAAGTAGTCATCTTGCTCAATGAGGAGAAGCCAAAGGATGAGGATGGCACTAAAATAGAGTAGAAGCCTGAGTCCCTCTTGACCCTGGAGCCTTCTTAACACCTTCAAGTTGCATGTACATAAAATAGAAATCAACTTCTCTTTTGGTTAAGTCACTGTTCTTTTGGGTTTTTCTGTCACTCACAGCCAAACCCAACCCTACCTTGTTGGGCAAGTCTGAGGGTGAAACGAGACATTATAGTAAAAGCAGCCATCTCAATAGGCATTTCCTCTAGGATATTTCAGTGGTTAAGAACTGTAAGCCCTGAAACCAGAGGACCTGAGTTCAAATCACAACTCTACCACTTACAAGCTGTGCAACTTTGGGCAAGTTGCTTAACCTCTCTGTGCTTCAGCTTTCTCATCTACAAAGTGGGGATAAAAATGGTTCCACCTCACAGGGTTAATGTGAGGATTAAGCCAGTTAATATGAAATTACAAGAAGTGGCTGGCACACAGTAAGTATCAGCAGTTAGTCTCCCATTTTTCCACATCTAGGCAGATTCCCTATCTAGCTCAGGGACCTGGGTCCCCGTAACATTTCCCAAAGCTTCATCTCAGTGTGGATTTTCCCTGAAGGTGACTGTGCTCTCAGGACAGCAATGCCAGGGGCATTCTGAGCTTCAGCCATGACGTAAACAGCTTTGCCTTGAGGGAGAGGATGCCAATCTGAGCCAACAGGGATGGGCGGCAGGGACTGAGCTCCTGGTTTGGAGCCCAGAAGAGGGACTGCCCTCTGGGATCTAGATGAAGTTCTTAGGAAGAAAGAAAGAGAAATAAAGGCCCCTGACTGGCTGTGTACCCCGGGCAGGTATCTCTTCTTTCTGAGGCTCTGGAGAGTGGATTAAATCATAGGTTATAGCTCACGTGCCAGCAGCACAAAAAACAATACAGAATATGAGTGAAATTTGTTGGGTTTGAGGCAGCAGGGAGTGGTGGGGACTGGGGCAAGAGCACATGGCCCATGGAGGGACAGCGGCAGGCTCCATGCAGTGCCAGCCCACCTGCCATGCGGGGCCAAATGAGCCGTGCTGTCAAATCTGCTTTTTCAAAAGAAATGGAAATCAAATCTGAATTCTTTGTGAAATGTTTTGATTGTTTAGTGTTGGCTCCATTCTAACAAACAAAACACTGATCAAGACAAACAAAATATGCCCCCAGGCCAGCTTAGCAGCTGCCAGATGCAAATGAGTGCCGAGAGGTCCCCCAGGCAATGCAGTGGGAATCAGAGTCCCAGGCTCTCTGTGGGAAGTGGACACACACGTGTGGGCGTGTGGCGGGGTGTGCAGGAGAGAAAGGAGCTGGGGGCGTGTCCCTCCTGGAGAAGCATGTGATCCCTCCCCTGCCTGGGTTGGGATGGCAGGAGGGTGGGCAGAGGCAGGGGCTGCCCTGTGACCTCAGGCAGCCCTCTGACTCCCCAGAGCTTCAGCTTCTTCCTCTGAAAGGGAGATTGAGGAATCTTTTGCTTTTTCACAGAATAGATCAGAGAATCCTCAGCTCAAGCCTGAGGCAGCGCCCCTGGTCCGCCTGCCCTGCTGAGGCCCTGCCCAAGGGGCAGCCTCCGCACCCCCAGCTTTGGGGACACCCTGAGGCCCTTGGGACCTGTGTGTAGACCCTGACTCTTCGCTCTGCCACCTGTAATACGGTTACACATCCACACCCTTTGCCTCGTGCCCTCACAGGGCCACCCCATGGAGTAGCTAGAGTACACGCACTTGCTCCATCCTCGGGGCTTTGCCAGGTGACTCGCTGTGGCCACTGGAACATCAGCAGACCTGACTGAGGCAGAGGCTCTAAAAGCACTCGTGTGGTTGGCCTGTCGCACCTGTGCTGTCCCCAGCACAGCACAGCTCTGGGAAAGAGCATCCCCAGGTAGCCACTGGTCTCACAATGATCTGGACCCATGGCCTAAGCAGAAACCCCCAGCGGACCTGCTGACCCAGGAACAAGAAAAGCAGGGGGGCTATTTGGGAAGCCGCTGAGACTTAGGGCTGTTCCACAGCAGTGTCACAGCAGAGACCTGATTCCTCTGCCAGGAGGGTGTGGGCTTCCGTAAGCCCGTCCCCAGCTCACGGCACAGAAGCTCCCACCCTGTCTGGTCATCCACTGTCCCAGAAGCCCCTGCACCCCTGGCCTGGGGCAAATAGAGAGACTCCCCCTGGAGTGGGGAGACCCTCAGGCTTTGGGCCACACACATTTGGAGCCAGCCCCCGCATCCTGGCTGCCAGCCCTCAGATGAGTCACATCCACCACCTGAGAGTCACTTGTGGAATGTGGGAGGGGTAGGGAGGGCCCGAGGAGACGCCAGGGGTCTGCAGTGCCCAGCGCTGGCACTGGGACTCCGCAGGAGGGGGCGGGACTGGGCCTGCCGTGAGTCTGCAGGACAAGGCATCTCCTGTGAGGAAACTGACCCCTGAGGAAAACGGGGCCTCCCCTGCGGAGGGCATGATTTCAAGTTCATGTGGAATCCGTCATTCTAGACTGAAGGAAAATCAGGGACGGTTCCCTCAGCACACCCCTGTGGGCACAGGCCATACTGCTTGGGGGCCTGTATCAGTTAGGAATGCTTTGAACTTCAAAAAATATACAGCCAATCACTGCTTAAACACAAAGGCTCATTTTCTTAGATAACAAGGAGTCTGGAGGTAGACAGTTGCTGGTGGTGGTTCAATGACTAGATAATGTCTTCAAAGACCAACACTTCATCTTTCCTCTCACCATCCTGTTTGGTTTTTTCGCCTTAACCTTGTTGCTTCATGGCCACAAGATGGCTGCTACAGTTCCAAGCATCTCATCTTGGACAAAATCCAAGCAGAAGAGATGATGGCCAGGAGTGGCTGTGATAGTGGCACCCCTGGCCATCCTGTCAAGAAAGGGGGAAAGAAACCAGTGACACCATGAAATAGACACCTGCATCATCCACTGGGAACTCCCAGAAAGACCCAAATGCCAGGACCTGAACTGAACCAGAGAAACTGGATCATAGGTAAATCGCTGGTGCGTGGTAGATGCTTCTCAAAAGAACTAAATGAATTTCCAGAGGATACTCAGGCTCCGAACTTGGGCCCAATGGTGAGATGACAAACTTTCACGTGAAGCTGAAACAGAGTCAGGTTCACTTCCTGGTTCTGCCACCTATATATCACCTGACATCTGGAAAGTGGAGTCAATGCTGGCTACTTGAGAGGGCTGCTGTGAGGCACATTCCCACTGCCTGTTCTATTTGCGCGGTAGCAGGGGATCCTGTGCGTTTAAATACCCAACACTGTGGTTCTCAGGGAACCAGCAGGCGTATATTCAGCCTTACAGCCACTCAGAGAGGTCAGAGGTTGTGCCCAGCAGGGTTTTGCCGCCCTCTCATGATCACCACCAACACTCCCACTCCCATGGTGGTTATCTTACATGGCAAGGGGAACCCTGCAGCTGCAACTAGGGAGACTAAGCTGCTCACCTTAAAATAAGGAGATTATCTGGGTGGGCCCCACATAATCACATGAGCCCTTAAAAACAGAAGAGGAAGGCAGAGTGATTTGAACCCCCAGAAAGAGTCAAGGTGCCTTCGCTAGCCGTGAAAATGGAGGGGCTTCATGAGAAGGAACCGAATTCTGCCCACAACTAGAGAGGCTGGAAGAGGGCCTGGGGCCCCAGCACAGAACTGCGGCCCCATATGCCACTTTGACTTTAGCCTGGCGAGGCCCTGAGCAGAGAGTCCCCCCGTGACTTCCAGACTTCTGACCGACAGCACCGTGAGCCAATACATGGGGTCTGTCTGAAGCCACTCAGGGCGTGGTAGTGTATCACATGGCAGTGGAACACGAAGACAGAGGCATTGTCCCCACCGTCTAGTCAAGACACTCGGAGCTCACAGCCACAGAGGGAGTGGTAGGACCAGTGTTTGAACCCAAGTCCATCTGACTCCAGAGCCCATGCTGTCACTTCCCATTTGGCCTGTCCAGATGAGGAAACTGAGGCACTAGAGGCTGGGGCATTGTCAGTGCCAGCTCCGCAGCATCTCAGCACAGAGGAGGCAGGGCCAGGCTGTGGGCCCCCAGCTCAGCAGGGCCCACCCAGATGCGGTCAGACTCCAGGCTGTAAGTTTCTCTGTGGAGAGGAGGGCTAAGGAAGGCGAGCCCTGGAGAGAGGCCCAAGAGCACCTCTGGCAGCCAGGCTGCTGGGAAAGAGCCCCTGAGTGAGGGAAGGGGCCTGAAGGGCCCAAGGTAGGAAGGGCCGGGGCGGGGAGCAATCAGCCAGCCACCGAGGCCCTTCTGGGCCTGACAGACTCCACTTCCAGCGCCTAGCGTATGCCAGAGGAGACAGTGTCCCGTGGGCCAGATCAGACACGAAAATCAAACATGTATTCAGTTTGACTGACACAGAGCTTAAAAGAAAAAGCCTAACCCAAATGTTTTAAATTGTGAAGTTTCACATTAAAAGCCAGATTTCCAACGTCTCTTGAAAAATGAGGAGCTCTGGTCCCACCGCGCCTATCTTCCCACACGGCAGCATAGGCTGGGGCCGAGTGGCTGCCACACCCTCTGACGGGACACGAGCTTTGGAGCACTGCAGTCCCCACTGCCCTCTGTCGCCCTCCCCTCACTTACCTGCCTGGCCCCTGAAGACATGTGAGTTCCAATCCCTTAGGCCCAACTTGACTCCATGACTTTACTCTTCTGTCCCTGCCCCACTCAGTCCTGGGAGACCCCGGGGGGAGGGGCCCAGCCTGTGTGATGTTAGCAGGCTGGGAGAAACAGGCGTTGGGGGCATTAGGATAGAAACCCAGCGGCCTCTTTCATACCTGTTTTTGTGGACAGCTGTTCCCAGTGACCCAAGTTAGCTAAGAATTCACCAGGGGTCCAACCCCTGACTTCCTGGTGGACCTAAGGGCACTTACGGGCACCCAATTTCTCTACCCCCATGAGCCTGCAGGTGCCCAATGGGACAGCTGCATTTGGCCAAAAGGGCAACTGAGGGAGGTAAAAATGATCTTCCCCTCTCCCCAGCCTCTGCACTCCCCCCAGGGTAGCTGCCCACATCCAGTGGCCCTTTGCGGAGGCCCAGTTGCACCCACCACCACTGGGGCCACCTCCGAGGAAAAGAATCAAAGCCTACTTTGTCTCCAGGCCCAGGCCTTCCAGGAAAAGGCCCTGTAGCAGATTCAGAGGTAACACTCTGCTCCCTTCCTTGTGAGCTGAGACGCTGGCGCTGCAATGGAAGAGACAAGAAATGAGCAGCAAACGGGGGAGGGAGGTGGAAAAATTAAATTTTGCGTGATCAGCAAGGTTTCAAACAATCGCTCGCCAACTGAAGTGGGTGCCACATCTATAAGTCATTCTATTTTATAGGCCATTAGGATCTCTAGAGAGAACCTGCATGGAGACCACTGCTTTTTGTTGAAATTAAAATGTCAGAGAAAAAGAAATAGAACAAAACAGGGAATCTGCAATTAATTACCAGGCCATAAAAATTCAATAATCAGGAGGCAGAGCGGCCGCGGGCCCAGAGGTATCAGAGCCCGCGTAACAAGAATGGAATACATTAATCTTTTCAAATTAGTTTTTTAATCTGACGGGGATATATGGTGACATGCTTCCCCTCCCCGCCCGCTCCCCCCAGCCTCCACAGGCTCTGGCCTGAAGCCTGGCTCGGGGAGAGAGGTTCTGGTGTGAGCTGGGGGACTGCCCAAACTCTGACCCCCAGACAAGGGAGAGTGCGGGTCTGCAACCCCAGCTGAGCGCAGGGCCGCCATGCCAGCTGGCCTGATGGAGAGGCCCCAGCAAGAGGTGCCAGGAAAGCACCTCTTGGGAGTCTGGTTCCCGCTGGGTCCCAGTGCATCAGAGGAGCTCAGAGGTGTGTCCTCCCCTGGCCAGTGGGTCAGAGGGTTTAAGAAAGCAAGAGCAGGATCTGGGGAGTAAGCACAGCGAGGTGGTCTCTCTGAGCCGAGGTTTCCTCCTCCGGAAAATGGGAATAATGTCACAGCCTCACAGAGAGGCTGGAGGTGTAGTGCCCAGTGCTCAATCAAAGGCCCCCATCTATTACTCTTTTTACTATCTAGACTGGCAGCTTAGGCAGCAAGGAGACCCAGAGACCACCAGGACACTATTCAGAGAGATTTATTTAACGCTTGCTGTGTGCTCAGCTCTGGGGAAGGAGACCAGCAGCCTCGGTCCTGATCTTGGAGAATGAGACTCATAATCAGGTCAGAGAAACATTTACAGGGCCAAGCAGGATGTAGAGGATCAAAAGGGGGAAGGAGCTTCTCCTAGGAGCAGGGCACCTTGCCTGGTGACAGGGAACTGGGAGGAGCGGGGTCGGCAGCCCACCCACCCACTGCTGGGGACAGCAGCTCCTGCCTGGCACTCTGGGCCTGGGGGTAGCCGGCTGGTTGCTCAAAGGATCAGTCCCAGCCCTGCCTTGATTCCAGGCCGTGCCCTGGAACTGGGCGTCCTCCTGCATCACGTCCCCAGGCAGCCCAGGGCAGTCCAGTGTCCCAAGTTTCTCTCCAGCTAGCCCTGGTCTTCAGCCTCAGCCAGGCCACTCTCTCACTGACCCCTCCCCTGCCTCCAAGAAGCCTGCCTCTGGGCCTGCTTGCTGAGTCCCACCTGGGAAGCCCCCCATGGAGCTCCAGTCTGGCCAGTGTGGTGACTAAATGGCCGCCCCAAGGGACAGCTGTAGAGCAGTAGCTGCTGGATGACCTTCTGCTATTTGGACTTTGACTCCTTTCAAATGTAACTGTTGTAACCCTCTAAGTGCTGGATTTTCTCATTTCATCCCCTGGGAAGCAGGAGCTATTAATAACCCCATTTTACAGAAGAGGAAATTGTGAAGCCGATGTTGGCCACCAGTTCTGTGTGTCCTGCGGTCTTCACTAAGAATACAAAACAGGACAGGTGCTTTCACCTCCGCCAGTTTGGCAAACAGTAGGTGTTCAATGCTCCCTGGATAGTGTCCCTGAGGACACAGCCCTGCAAGGTGTCTCACCTGCCCTCCAATATCTTTCATCCCCAAAATGTCTTCACTCCAACTCGATCATAACAGCAGCTGCCATTTATTGAGCACTTACTGTGTGCCAGGCTGTGGGATCTGGTGCCATTTATGGTAAGACTGTGCTCCCCGTTTTACATGAAGGAAACTGAGGCTCAGAGAGAATGATGGGCCCAAGATCTCACACCCACGTCTACTGGCACCCAAGGGTAGGACTCTAATTAAGGACATTGTCTCAGTGCCCCAGCAACCAGACCCACTCCAGGGTTCCAGAGCCCCACCTCTGGCTGTGTTCCCCCAAACCAGGTCCTTCACTCCTGGTCAACCGGATACCCTTGGTCACCTCCCCAGATTCTCTGTCTTTCTCAGGACTCCTTTAATTTCTATCACTTTGCAGCTGTTACTATTCTGTTACACCAACCCCAGGTGCCCCAGGGGATCTCAGCAGAAATGGTAGCAAGAAGAAAGAAGCGTAGCCAGGAAGGGCATCAAACGTTTCCTCCCTGACCCAGGCCTCTAGACCGCAGGCACCGAAGAACCCCCACCCTAGATGCTTGCTCCCCACCGGGCGCAGTTTCGAGCACGACCACCAGATGGCGTTCGGCTCGCTCGAGCGGGGCTTGCAGTAAGAGAATGCGGCCGCAAGATGGCACTCGAGGCCATGGCTCCGCGGGCAGTGCCCAGATAAGGCGGAGCCAGGAAGGCCCGCCGGTCCGGGTGCCGTCTCGGTAACCCCAGCGCAAGGGACCCGGCCGCCGCCGCTTCTTGCCTGAGCCATGACCCAGCCCATGCCCCGGCTCTCTGTGCCCGCCGCGCTGGCCCTGGGCTCGGCAGCTCTGGGCGCCGCCTTCGCCACCGGCCTCTTCCTGGGTGAGTAAGGCCGGACCTGCGGCACCCTCCGCAGGGTCCCCGCGGGCAGAGTGGGCACGGGAGCAGAGCCCGAGAATCCGCGAGGCTGGCCGAGGCTGAGGCTCACCCCTGGCGCCTGGAGCCCCCGGCTCTGACCCATCACCCCCTCTCCGGCAGGGAGACGGTGCCCTCCGTGGCGATCTCGGCGAGAGAAGCGCCTGCTGCCCCCCGAGGACAGCCCGCTGTGGCAGTATCTGCTGAGCCGCTCCATGCGGGAGCACCCGGCGCTGCGGAGCCTGCGGCTGGTCAGCAGGGCTGGGCACGGGAACAGGCGCCCACCTCGGGCCAGCGGGTCCCACGCGGTTGTGTGACCTTGGGCTGGGCCATGGCCCTCTCCGGGCTTCCGGGCTCCCCAGGCCCCGCGCAGTGGGCGTTTCCTGAGGGCCCATCCCCGGCCACGCCCACAGTCACGCCCACAGCCACGGCCCGGGGCGGGTCTGAACCTGGAGCGCGGCTGGGTGTCTGGCAGGGCTGGTGCGACCCTCTCCCCCACACACACAGCTGACCCTGGAGCAACAGCAGGGGGATTCCATGATGACCTGTGAGCAGGCCCAGCTTCTGGCCAACCTGGCGCGGCTCATCAAGGCCAAGAAGGCGCTGGACCTCGGTAAGACGCATGGTCCGGATCACTGGGGGCCGAGGTCACGGGGCCGTCCCCCCACTCTGGCCTGACCCTGCCCGTGTCCCTGTCCCCAGGCACTTTCACAGGCTACTCAGCCCTCGCGTTGGCCCTGGCGCTGCCTCCAGCCGGGCGCGTGGTGACCTGCGAGGTGAACGCGGGGCCCCCGGAACTGGGGCGGCCCCTGTGGAGGCAGGTGAGTGTCCCACACACCTGAAGTCCTCGTCAGGCCCCGGGAGCCCGGCCACTCCCATCTCCAGGAGAAGGGACGTGCTGGTTCTGACCTCGCTCCTTGCAGGCCGAGGAGGAGCACAAGATCGACCTTCGGTTGAAGCCCGCCCTGGAGACTCTGGGTGAGCACCGGAGCTGAAAGGGCCTTGGCGCCATTTCCCAAATGGGGCCAGTGGGCGCGAGCTAGTGACCAGGTCTGCTGGGCAGGCTTGGGGCAATGACAGCCCCTGCCGCCCGACCTTCCGGTATGCGACCACATGCAGGGTGGCAGGGCTAGTCGCAGCGCCTGGGCGGGGGCTTCCGGTCGCTGGGGCCTGCGGACTCAGCGCATCTGTTCCTCCATCTCCCACAAGACGAGCTACTGGCCGCCGGCGAAGCTGGCACCTTCGACGTGGCCGTGGTGGACGCGGACAAGGAGAACTGCGCTGCCTACTATGAACGGTGCCTGCAGCTGCTGCGCCCCGGAGGCGTCCTCGCCGTTCTCAGTGTAAGGGATAGCCGAAGGGGAGAAGAAAGCACCTTCCCTGGCTGGGTCCCCTTTGCCCTTGGCTCCTCCCTACGCCCCGCCCCCATGCCCCAAAGCCCCTCCCTCGTGGTACTCGAGTCCCTCGGCTTTCCGTGCCTCGGGTCCTCGGTCTCCAGCTCTCGCCCCGCCTACTGCTCAGGCCCCTCCCCGAGGCCCGCCCCCCGTGATGCCCCGCCCATCCACAGGTCCTGTGGCGCGGCGAGGTGTTGCAGCCTCAACCTCGGGACACTGCGGCAGAGTGTGTGCGAAACCTGAATGAGCGCATCCTGCGGGACGCCAGGGTCCATATCAGCCTCCTGCCCCTGGGCGACGGTCTCACTTTAGCCTTCAAGATCTAGGGCTGGCCCCTAGGCAAGTGGCCTCAAGGGAGGGGGAACTTAGGAACCCCAGCCTTGGACCCTAAGTTTTAAATCTATCAATAAAGTTGGGCCTGGGACACGATCCGATTCTCCATACTTCTGAGCCTTCCTTCGTGGCGCTCAAAAGGGTAAGGTGGGAAGGCCCAGCATAGGGAGGCTTTGTCAGGAAAAGGGAGCCTTGAGGTCATAGACGTGCATCCCCTCCCTGGCACAATCCTGAGGGCTGCCCAGCACCAAGGAGCCTCCACCTGACTGGAGGCAGTATATAGTTCTGATTGACCTGGCCACACACAAGTGGTCAGAGATCCCAGATCCTCAGGTTTGCTTCCACTCCACAGGATCTGAGGGCTGGATGCTGGGTAGAGCTGCCTTGGTCTCCCCACTAACTTCCTAGGAGGGACAAGTAAATGAAGTTCCTGTTCAGTGCAGCTGGGACGCTGGGGAGACCCTATGTGGGATCTAACAAGGAGGCGGCCTTGCAGAGAACCAGGGTACTGGGTACTTTTGTAGGTTATGCCAGTTCTGCTGGACATTTGCCTGTGTTTTCAGAACTGTCAACTCGGCCTCAGCTCTGCAGGGGAGGTCCTTGTCAGTAGCCATCACTTCTGAGAACCAGACCACTTGACTTAGACCTGAGAACCTCAAAGTTGACTGGAGTATATATCCTGCCCTCCCATTTAAGTCCTAGAAGGTGAGGGACTGGTAGGATCACTGGCCAGAGAGATGTGAAGCAGACAGGCCTACAGGAGATTATTACTATGGCAATTTCTAACAAGTTCCCCAGAGGAAGATGAAGAGAAAGTTAGGTTTTCCAGCACCAACATCTAGGAGTGGAGATGGAAAGCAAGCCAGATGCTTCACTTTTCTCCTTTAAACCTCCCCAATCCTGTAGGTAGATCTCATCTCCACACCACAGATGAAGATCAGGCTCAGATACTGTATTATTTCCACTAACACTGCCTCAGGCCTCAGGCAGAAATAGTATCAGCCTAGAATACAATTAGGTTTTGCCACCACCTGATTAGGCCTGGATGGTGGATGTGCATCCTGGAGGCTGCTAGAAGCAAGACTGCACAAGCTAGAGGAGCCCACAGCTTGCAACTTTCATAATCTTACAGCTCCTGGGATATACCTTGCATCTCAGACAATTCTCAGGACCCTAGCTGTAAACCTACCCTTCTCTCTTCCACTCATAAAAGCATATTAAGCATATTAGGATGCATGTGGGTGAACAGGTCCAATTTACTCTAAGTAGATTCTTGACAAACTGGTAACTCACTTGTGCCACACCTCACAACATATGGCCACACCCCAGTCCAGAGTATTGGACCAGGAGACCCCAGCCACAGCATGAGGGAGGGCCACTGGTTAGCTAAGGGGCAACAGGCCGTAAGGGGGCTTCAGGTGTTGCCAGGCCCTGTGACCAGGTTTCTTGTCTGCTGAGCACCACCAGCAGTTTGAGAGCTGTCTGCTGGTCTACTTCACACTTTGCATATGTATCTCAAACACAAGAGGTGCTGTCACACCCAGCTTGCATAGACATCTTTTCTGTTTTTCTTACATAGCAATAGGTCCTGACTCAATCAAATTGGTTCAAAATTCCAACTTTCTACCATTAAGTCATGTGTGTCTGATTCACATGGGCCATTCCAGCCAGTCCCTTAAGACAAACATCATGAGACCAGAAAGGGCCTTTGTGCCCCCCACCCAGTCCACCTGTGTGGAGAGCTTGCTTGGGCTTCTTCTAATCTCTCATTAAGATTCTTCTTGACCTGGAAATTTTCAGCAAATATCACTTTTTGGGTAATGAGTCTCAAAGGACTACATTTTCTTATCTGTTCTCTCTCAGACTTAAAACTCTACTTCAGATCTAGCATTATGAATTTCCTGAACAAACTTCCCCATTCTCCAACCTTTGATCATATGCTCCATCAAAAAACTTGCTCTTTCCTACTTTTCCAACTAGAATCACCTATTAATTTCTATCATTCATCCCCAATCCAGATGAAGGCCAATGGCCACACAGCCTAAAGGTGTTGCCTCTGGTTTCAATCTTAGGCCCAAGCTTTTCAGTCAGCGTCTGCTTGGAAGGAAATGAGTAATGACCTCTCACCGGCCCTATACACTCCCCTCTGACAATCCCTCTGCTTACAGACACTGTCTACACCTTGTTCTATTACCCCACACCTAAGTCTCATCGCACCTAACTAAGGTCCAGTTCATTTCCCGTAGCAATAGCTCGGAGAGGTATAATGTATGCATATAACCTTCCAGCACCATCCATCCCTTCACTTTCCTTTCTTCATCACTTACTCTCAAACGCTTCCTGGAGTTAACAATGATCAATGTAATTTTGCACAAACTTACAAACTGAAGATGTAAAGGCATATATCCTCTTATTTTATTGTAGTCTAAAAAGCTCATGGAATTACTCTAGGGACACAGAGGACTTTGTGGCACAGATTTAGGTAAAGAGCAAAATGCTCACTGGAAAAATAAAGTATTAGCTAGATACCAGGGAGATTTGACCCTAGCTGGCAAATTTTTAACTCTGCAAATACTTGGAGTCGTTAATTATGTATACTTGTTTTATTCATAATTTGTAATGTTTTGGGATACCAAAAGTAATTCTAATGGCTGAATTTAACAAAATTTTTTTAACCTCATCTTAAAACATCCACTGATCCATCTCATTCAATGGCAATATTCAATGTTAAAAGGAACATAAAAACAAACATGCACACGATTGCACAGTTTTCTTAAAGGTCTATTTCATTATTGGTGGGTAGCGCATTTAATAGTTAAATACATTTAAATAATGTATAGATGGCTGCATAACTGCAGCATTGGTAACTAGATAGATAACCAATTCAACTAGAAACCAGCTAACAAGTAACCGTCTAAATATTTAAAATACAGCTCTTATTTAGATCATCCTGTGTTTTGATCACCTTCTTGGGGTGGGGGGGGGGGAAGCCTGCTGGTCACACTGGAAATATATTAAGGCCAAATCTTCTGATATCCATTCCCAGAGGTTTCTTTCAGCTGGATTAAGCCTCCAACTCCAGGGCAAGCCCAAGTTTGTGGCCTCCAGCATTAATGCTCTTCCCGTCTACCAGAGCAGACAGCGTAAGCTTCACACCTGTAAACAAAAGCAGACAACCATTACGTGGCTGAAACACCTCAAAGAGCCTGTAGTCTTCTTTAATCACCCTTCCTCAGCCATCAGAAGACCTACTAGTGCCAGCCACCAGAGGGCGCTTGGGGGTATCTGAGATACTAGAAACAATTCAGTTGGCACCACATCCTGGGTAACACATCAAGTCACAGAGCATTAAAAATGTTAATAATAAACGTTCAAAGTGCCCTAGAAAATATAACAATGTTCATTATACTACCCAGACTAAAAGATGATCACAATTGGATCCTGGGAAAGACATTTTGGGGACAAGTGGGGAAATCTGAATATAGACTACATATTAGGTATTAGTGTTTTCTTAGCTGTGACAATGATATTATAGTTATGAAGAAAAATGTCTTACTCTTAGGATATGCATACTAGGACTACTATGTCTACAAAACATACAGTTAAATAATTCCTAAGGGTTTGTAGGAAAAAAAAGTAAAAAGGATTGAGGAAGAACAACAAAGCTCCAAGTGCCACGATACCTCACTTCAAACTGTACTTTTGCTACAGTAATCAAAACAGTGGTACTGACACAAAGATCAATGGAACAGAACAGAGAGCTCAGAAATAACCCCACGCTTTTATGGTCAATTAATCTACAAGAAAGGAGGTAAGAATATACAACGGGGAAAAGGCAGTCTCTTCAATAAATGGTGTTGGGAAAACTGGACAACTACATGCAAAAGAATAAAACTGGACCACTTTCTCATATCACATACAAAAATAAACTCAAAATGGATTCAAGACAAACATAAGATCTGAAACCATAAAATTCTTAGAAGAAAACATAGGCAGTAAGCTCTTTGACATCGGTCTCAGTGATTTTTTAGATCTATCTCCTCAGGGCAAAGGCAACAAAACCAAAAATAAGCAAATGGGACTATATCAAACTAAAAAGCTTTTGCAGAGTGAAGAAAACTATTAACAAAACAAAAAGGCAACCTACTGAATAGCAGAACATATTTGCAAATGATATATCCAACAAGGGGTTAATATCTAAAATATATAAAGAACTCACACAATGCAGTATCAAACAATCTGATTAAAAAATGGGCAGAGGACCTGAATAGACATTTTCCCAAAAAAGACATACAGATGACCAACAGACACATGAAAAGATGCTCAAGATCACTAATCATCAGGGAAATACAAATCAAAACCAGTGAGATATCACCTCACACCTGTCAGAATGGCTATTATCAAAAAGATATTTGTTGGCAAGGGTGTGGAAAAAAGGGAACCCTGGAGCCCTGTTGGTGGGAATGTAAACTGGTATAGCCACTATGGAAAATAGTATGGAGATTCCTCAAAACATTAAAAATAGGGGCCAAGCCAGCGGTGTACTGGTTAAGTTTGTGTGCTCCACTTCAGTGGCCTGGGGTTCATAGGCTCGGATCCCAGTTGTGGAACTACACACCCTTCATCAAGCCATGCTGTGGCAGCATCCCACAAACAAAATAGAGGAAGATTGGCACAAATGTTAGCCTAGGGCCAATCTTCCTCACCAAAATAATAATAATAATAATGATGATGATAATAAAAGTTTAAAAAAAAGCAGAACTACCATACAATCCAGCAATTCTATTTCTGGGTATTTATCTGAAGAAAACAAAAATACTAGGTCAAAAAGATATATGCACCCCCTTTGTTCACTGTAGCATTATTTAGAATAGCCAAGATATGGAAGCAATCTAAATGTCCATCAATAGATGAATGGATAAAGGAAATATGGTACATACACAATGGAATATTACTCAGCAATAAAAAAGAATGAAATCTTGCCAATTGTGACAACGTGAATGGACCTAGAGGGTACTATGTTAAGTGAAAGAAGTCAAACAGAGAAAGACAAATACCACATGATTTCCCTTATGTGTGGAATCTAAAAGACCAACAAAAC